CGGATTTCCCTTTTGAGAATTGTATATGCGATTTTAATTGTTTTTTTAAAAAACACCAAAATATTAGTTGCAACAAATGTAGAATAAATTTTTTAAAATTTATTCATTTCTGATTCCACATTTATGGCGATAATATTAAAATTTCAATTTGGCACAGTTGTCTTAATTACTTTTATTTTGATAATTATGAGCTTCTTGAATTCTCTTTTTGCCTATTTCTTTCAAATTTTGGACCACTTGGACAATTACTATTGAATTTGGATTGAAAATTTGGAGTTAAGTTTAGAATTTTATGTATTTACACTATAGATCATGCAATTATGTTCATAGTGTTCTCAATTGTACTTTATAATTTATTCATAGAGTTTTACATGTTTAAAATGCCAATGAACTTTAATTTTTGCAATGTTTCCAAAGTCATGAAAGATTATTTTATGACATGTACAATTTAGCTCGATGAGAGTTTAATACATCGTGAGTAATTACATGCTCATTCAAAATTTGATCGTGATACCATTATATAGGAACATTTTTCATTTTTTATAGGATTATTTATGTTTTTATGTGTGTACTCAAAACCTTTATATATACTTTCATTTGAAAAAATAATCATATAAATTGCATGAATAACTTTAAGGGGAGCATCCAATTATAACCTTAGACTTAGCCTTATAAGTTGCAACACATTTTCAAAAGGACTTATAGTTACCTCACAAAGTGGATATCTTTATTATGAGATCAAATCTTTTTTCAGAAAAAAATTTCTGATTTTTATTCCTTTTGTTTCACATTTAGGGTGTGTTTGGTACCTAGGAAAATATTTTTCTTCAAAAATAATGTTTAGAAAAATAAGTGAGTTTATTATTTACTTTTTTATGTATAAGCAAATAATATTATCCTAAAAGCATTCGTATATAATTTACACAAATATCATGGAAGGTGGGGTGGGGTGATAGGAATAAGAGAGAAGATGAAGTGTGCATATGTCGGAGGATGGAAAGAACACAATCAACATGAAATTCAACTTCAACTTGTTACAATTTCTGAAATTCACAAGTTGAATTCCGAGTTTTTTTAAAAAATTCGAAAAAACTTTAAATACTTATTTTCACATTTTTCATTCATATTCTCTTACAAAAATTTAATATTTTTCGAAGAGTATTTATATCCAACACAACTTTTAGATTCCAGAAAGGTGAAAAAGGAAAAGGGATGTCAAGAATTGACAACTTAAGAAGATGTTGTAATATAGTGATAAGATTTTAACAAAAAAAATTGCAAGGAATATATAGAGGGGCATATTTTCTCATTGACACATATTTTTGACTTACTTTATCGTATCGTATCATATCATATCATGTGTTTCATAATCTTTTGAGTTTTGTAATGCATATTTGTATTGGCTTGTTCTTCATTATTACTCCATATGTCTCAATTTATGTAACATAATTTAAATTTTGAGAATCAAATAGTTTAATTTTAATTGTGAATTCAGATATGAAACATTCAAATTTTTTAAACAAAAATAATAATAATAATAATATATATATATATATATATATAAAAGAAAAAAAATTACAATCAAAGACAGACTTGTTTGAATTTGAAATTTAGAAGATGTCATATAAATTGAGACGTACGAACCAGTTAACAGTAAAAATGATAGGTTATGTAAGAATCACTCCATTTTTATCTTCGAGAAAGGTCTTTGCTACATAGCGATTTATCCTCTGCCCCAAAAAGGTGAAACTTTTATAAGCTTAGATTAATCAGGATTCAAAACTAATATCGAACATCGAGTAAAATGAATTAATTGTTCCCCTAAGTTTTAATACATGGAAAGGGGCAACAATTGGATGAGATATATAAAAGTCCATTTCTTTGCATTATATTCTATTATTCGAATGCCTTTGTGGTGACTATGAAAAGTTCTTATCAAAATTGTAAAGAATAAGTAACATAAATCCTTCTCAAAATATTCCCCTATTCTACTTGAGGATTTGAAACACTATATATCCAAGAATGAATGATGCAAAGTGATCCTTTCCTAACAAGCAAAAATGAAATATTCTCAAAAAAGACTTGCCCATATATGAAGGGGAGTCTTTGAGCAACAAATTAAAAGGTTGTCTTCAATTCGTACGAGCTATAGGATTACAGGTATGAGCCACGAAATCAGTTATTAATATTTCTATTAGAATAGACTATCTATAACAGTGTTGCTTTTTTTTGGATTTTACGTGATCACGAGATGCTTTGTGTTGCCCATTTAAATAAAAGAAGAAGAAAAGTTAGAACATTTTCCTTAATCAAACCAACAAAACATGACTTAAAGTAGTAAGTTTCCTTTCTTTATTAGGTCCTTTTATTTGACTTTGGATTAGGTATAGGATCCTTATTATAATTAGACTAGCAAAAGGCCCCAATAAATTGTAGACATATTGAATCTTTCTAAAGACTTTAAGAAGTGAACCTCATAGAAAATGCCCTACATATATTCTTTATTATCATTGCCCACTTTAAAAAATGTATTTATCCTGGAGAGAAAAAAAAGAATTTCCTTCCATTAATAAAATTATTTAGCAAATTTCTTGACCGGTCGCTCAAGAGACTGACGTTTGTTCTCTTCCTCTGTGCATCTCAGTGATGGACTTAACATAAGCTTTTTTTATCCTTCTCTTACCGGGATATCTATTATATCAAGATTATTATTTTTGAGTCCACTAAAAGCTCATTTATGACACGTTTAACCCGTTCAAAGGCCTTTTATAAGACTTGGACTAAAATCCTCGAAGAAGAGGGATGTGCCTGCTTCTGATACCACGTAAAGAAAATAGACCTTAAATGTTATTTAACCTAAAAAATAGCTCATAAATTAAGAATCGTCTAAGATTAAGTACGGAGACAACAACACCTTCTATTTAGTTGATCAATGTGGAACACTTTAACAACTCAATATGGGAAGACAATGTTTAGCCTAATAGAAATAGCTACTTATTTTGAACCCAAGGAAAAAAAAACATTTTTTTAAAAGTTGCCCAAAATAAAAAAAGTTAATTTTTCATTCGATGTTGGGTATTTGTCTTGGGGCTCGAGTAATCTAAGATTCGTTCCAAAAGGTCTCTTCTTTAGGGTAAAGCAAATACATTTTTTCCCAAAGATTGTGTTGTGAAGCTTGTTTAACCAAAAATGCAACTCAATATCATTCAGTAGAGTATATCAGTAAAATTAATACATGCATTAGCTCTATGATTAATAATACTTTGTTTGGTACATTGTTTATGCTATGTATATATTTTATTGTGTATTTTGGTGTAATGTTATGTATAACATGATAAAGACCAATTGCCCTCAAACCCCTTTTTAAATCTCTTCTATCACAAATGTAGAGAATATCTTTGTAAATAAATATTTTTATATGTACACCGCTTTTAATATATCAAGGCCAAACCCATCGCTGGCCCCTTAAACTTGGCACAATCTTTCACTTAGACACCTCAATTGAAGGATGTTCACTTTAGACACCTCATATAGGGTTTCGTAATGTCATTTTGACACTTTTTTTTCAATAAGCAAAAATATATAATGTGTGTGCGTTACACTCGCGAGTGACCTGTAAAGTGTCCAATAAAATAAGGACATTTGTCATTTTCCCCCAAAATAATTCTTAAACAATGAATTTTGATCTAACCAAAAAGATAACAAGTGAATTGATGACACGTGGCATTTTCCCCAAATAATTACAAAAGGAAAACTTAATCACTTCTAAAAAGAAGTGTTTTGCAGAATACCAAACCACCCCTGACCCCTATCCCCCACCCCCTGCCCGCCAACACCAATCGTCTTCTCCACGAAAATCAAATCCACCCCTACCCATTCGTCTTCTCCGCCATATCCGAGCTTTCTCTATTCTTTAAAGATTCAAAATATATTAAATCCTCTTCCCTATAAAATAAGTATTCGATGGAATTTGAATGATTTGAGTGAAAAATAATTCCTATTCTATATCTGTAGTGGAGTAAAACCAGAAAATTGAGGAAATTAGGACCAAACAAAATGAAGAAATATATCTTCAATATCATCATTGGAAACTTAAGTGCAGGTGCCGTTTCCCATGGAGAGTTAGAGACTAATTAGAGCATAAAATACAAAATGGAATCTAAGAAAGAGATAAAAAGGAATTTTTGAGAGAATTAGACCTAACAGGAATCTGAGGGTTAAACTATCAAGCAACAAAATTGTTTGTATTAATTTCAATCATGATTTTGAACCACATAATTTAAACGAGTCCTGATTTAAAAACAAATAATAAACTAATTTGACTATTAAATTTAAATCAGTGAGATATATATTTAACTCTAAAATTTCTGTCAACACTTTTCACCATGGAAGGAGTTTAAATTTATGAAAATGGTAGTTGAAAATAGGACAAGACAAAAAAGAAATTAAAAAAAAAGGCTAAATAAAGCTCTAACGCGCTGGTAGTGAGTGTTATACACTCATTATGCCATGTCAGCGAAAAGTGTCAAAATGACACAACAAACTCCTACTTAAAGTGTTCAAAATAAACAAAGCTTACTTGAGGTGTCTAAGTGAAAGTTAGTGCCAAGTTTGAGGGGCTGCCGATGGGTTCACCCATATATCAAATCAAATAATGCAAAAAAAAGTATGTAATACAAGCATAACTAGTACACTCTATTTAACATTATTTTTATACACTACCAAACGATAACATGTTCTAGTTTCTATCCTAATGAATCACCTAGGTTCAAGAAATCAACTAACAACCAAAAAAAAAAAAAGGCGACAATGAACCTATTGTATTTGGAAACTTATTAGTTCAAATCTACTATTTGTTGCCATTTTAATAAATTTTCCCAAATAAAAGTATCGAATTCAGATAAATTCAATTTCTGCATGCTACATCCACCACCAATCAATATATATACAAGACAGATCGACACTATAATTTGATAATGTATATAAGTTCATGTCATCAATTTAAGCCACCAATTTTGTTAAGCCACCCTTGACAGTTTACCCACAACTATGGAGAGCCTTTCATAAAAGTTCAAAAGGTCAATTCTTGAGTAGAATCTATTGAAGGACTTGGGACTTGACTCCGACCTGGAACCCGACTCCCAACTTCCTGAGACCTAACTCCCGACTCGAGACCCGGTGAGCACTAACATGATGTCATTTAGATTTTGCCTATTTTCACCAGTAGTCATTACAAAAACAATACCCATTCCTAAAATGATGAAACCTGTTCCTGTCCCTCATTATTATCTCTCTTTTATAGACATTTGATATGAACTTCATGAATGTATGACAATCATCACATGTCCTGAGATTCTTCACAACCCGAATTATCCTTCCGGGTTGCATCGTCATAAGTCCAAACGCAACAGCAATTCTCTCACTGTGATATCGAACCACACTCTCCTTCTCTTCATCCTCAACGTCATGTAGCACCGTAGTTGTATCTGGTTCATATCCATGAGCCTGTACTTCCTTCACAATCTTATCCAAGAACACGTTAATTTGAGTGCGTGAAGTATCTCCAGCTACAAATTCATATACAATGTTTTCAACCTCGATTGAACTGCATCCAGGCGTTTTACGCACACCCCTCTTGATCATTAACTTCCTACATTGATCAACTTCAGTCCATCGGTTTAAAGATGCATAGAGGTTGGACAAGAAGACGTAGTTTCCTCCATCGTGTGGATCCAAACTTAGAAGATTATCGGTCACTTGCTCCCCTAGCTTTGCATCCTTGTGCTTGTGACAAGCTCGGAGCAGCCCACCCCAGACAACTGCATTGGGCTTCATTGGCATGCTCTTTATAAGTTCAAGTGCTTCTTGAAGGCATCCTGATCGACCTAAAAGGTCGATCATGCAGCCATAATGTTCAATTCCGGGCTCAATGCCATAAACGATCTTCATCTCTGAAAAATAGCTTCTCCCAACGGAAACCAATCCAGAATGGCTACACGAACATAGAAGCCCTACGAAAGTCACACCGTCTGGTTTTATCCCTTCTCTTTCCATTGCAATGAAAGCATCTACAGCTTCCTTCCCATACCCATGCATTCCTAGTCCAATGATGACGGAATTCCAGCAAAAGATATTTCTATCATGCAAGCCATGGAAGACTTGTATAGCAGCTTCTACATTCCCACATTTGAAGTACATATCTATAAGCGCGTTACCCAAGATAAAATCGATCATGATTTTCTTCGTTCTAATATAACCATGAATCCATTCACCCATATCTAAAGCTCCTAAATGGGCACAAGCAGAAAGCAAGCTAACCATTGTCACCTCAGTTGGTTTTACTTCTTCCCTTAGCATACGTTGAAACAAATTTATGGCTCTAACAAATTCGCCACATTGAACATATCCTGCAATCATCGTATTCCAAGTCACAACGTTTTTCATGAACTCCATCTCAACAAACAATTCATCCGCCTTGACCATTTGCTCCGACTTACAATATCCATCAATCATTGCATTCCATGAAACCACATCTTTCATTGGATTTCGATCAAAGATCAATCGAGCATTATGAACTTCACTTGATTTGCAGTAGCAGGTAATTAACGAATTCCAAGAAGCCGAATTCCTCTGAGACATATTCTCAAACAGCTGTTTCGCCTCCTCAACACAACCATACCTACTGAAAGCTGAAATCATAGCATTAGTAGCAATAACATCTCTCTCGGGCATTTCGACAAACACTTTCCTTGCAGACCCTAAATCCCCAACTTTTGCATAAAAATCAAGCAACCCAGTTAGCAAAATTACATCAAATTCAAAACCCATTTTCACAATCTGGGAATGAAACGATTTCCCTAAATGGGTTCCATTTCGATTAGCACAAGAACGTAAAATCAAAGAAAAGGTGACTCTGTTTGGAAAGAAGTTGGTGTCACAACTCCTGATCAACCCTTCGTACAAATCCAAAAATTCTTTGAAATTTTCATGTTGTAAGGAAACACGAATCATTGAATTCAATAATGAAGATGGATTATTGTGTCTGGGAAATTGTTGCAAAACAAGTTGTTTTAATTGTTTGAAAGAAAATCTCTTTTTGGGTGGTAAATACAGAGAATTCATGAACATGAACAAAAACAACTCTCAGTAAAATGTATCAAAATATACTTTAATCTTATTGCATATATACCCTGTAAAATATTGAAATTAAAACAAAGGGAGCACAACACGATTGGTTTCTAAGATCACTTCTCAGAACCAAAATGACTAGTTTCATTTCCAACTGAATCAAAACTAATACTCATCTATATTTCCAACAATCTGAATTCTTTCTGTTTGTTTTCGTTTCCCATCTGTTTTGTACTGAAACCCAACTAATTCTAATCCATGTTGAATAGAGGCCTATTCAGAGGTAGCATTAAACAACCCCATCCACAATTTAACTTCCTACCTTGTTCCAATATGGACAGCCGGACCATTGCAAAGGACCTTCCAAATCCACATATCATAAATTTAAACTCAACAATTGCTTATGTTAAACCCAACCTCCTATTAAATTATAGGTTGTGGCCTAAACTGACAAGTGGAGTATGAATTTTAAGCCTATAACCACATCATTTTGGCACGCCAAAATTCAACACACCAATTTGACACCCCTACTCAAACATATCATCCACCATCATTCTTAACGAATCAAGTCTGTCCACAAAACCAACGGAAGACTGATGAACTACTGCAACGAAGATTTAAACATGTATACTACATCCACAGCTGCATATAAAAAAAATGGCATAAAAAACACCATGTGTACATAAGATTGCATATAACCACAATTCTTAATACATTGTCACAACTGTAGCAAGCAAATTCAGGATGAACTATGTATAACCAACTTTATGCATCAGAGTTACCCGCTAGATATAGAAGACACTGTAACATGGAGGCTGCAACTCCGTAGGCACTTACTTCAGCGACCAAATCTGGAAGTTCTGGACGGGTGAAAACTAAACTCTCATCATATTTCTCCAGAGTATAAAGCTACCTCATATCACATATTCAAGTAAAAAGTAATAGATACGTCCAACTATTCAGTTCCTATAGCTAAGCAAAAACAGTTATTCATAAAAGCAACAAAATAAAAGAGACACCATCACTCCAGGCAGATACTCTCCTGTTCTTGCTTGACAGTGACCATTTCCATTGATTTAGGTGGTACCTGCCAAAGAGCACCAAAGAAAATTTTCAAAACATACCCGGTGTAGTCCCACACAAGTGGGGATCACAAGAAAAGTTTTAAAAAGAAAGAACAACGAAACAGAAAACTCCACCAAGTAACATGCCCAGCTCGCCAAGTAAATTCTAAATTTCTAATCAATGAGAACAAAATATGCATAATTGCATAAAGATGAAACATTTAACTCCTTTCAACTTCAATGCACAGCGTAGAACTGAAATATGCACCACTATTAGGCACTTCACATGTTAGCTGAGGTCTTTATCCACGTGTATTGCGGATAACTACTCATCATCCAAGGGCATGGAGTACCAGGACATAAAGGGTTTTTAATTCATAGATTCTTTCAGTATCCTGAATCTCAAATGATCACAATATAATATAATATTCACATCATCCAAAAATAACAATAGAATATCCAGCTATACTCGCCATATAAATTCAACCGCCTTTAACCAAGCCAGAACCATACACATTTTAAAACAACAAATTCACCGATGTATTATTGCTCCGTCTCTTCTATAAATATTTCCCACGTTTGACTTCTCCTCGTTTTAGTTCTCAAGCTTTTATTAGGAGAGGTAGCAATCCAATAAAATGACAAAAGTAACACAACACAAGAATATTATCATTTTAATTTTCAAAACAGACAGCTTATAGTTCTCAAATACTACATATACCAACACAAAAATCAAAATTTATCAGATCCCAAAATCGTATCTAGGAAATTCAACATTGACTAGATATTAGTGAATGGTGGCAAAAATCTAGATGTTTATGGTTGAAACAGGGTGATAGGAACACTGAATTCTTCCAGAAGATGCAGCCACATTGACAAGATAGAAGTGAATGCAAATATCAAGGAAGAACCAGAGTAAATGAAAAGAAATAATCGAGCTATATGAGAAACTTTATACCGAGACTGAGGAGAGAATGGATTGTGTCCTGGACTTTATATCTACATACATCATGCCATTGTTTCCAATACCTTTGGAAGTGGAGAAAATTGGACAAATTGAGGAGATTTCTTGTGTCAGGGCAGCAAAGAAGGCCAGCCTTTCAACTTGGTCAACTGGAACACTATAATTTTATTTTTAGTAACAGAAGTGGGGATTACGTATCAAACAAAATTGGTTTTGTTTTTATAACCGTTGTCCAGGCCCAGTTTGTGGCTCGTGCACATCTTCACTAATGACACAGGGCACCTACTACCTCCCACCAGACCAGCACATGTACAAGTAACTTTGTCCACCAAGACTTCGCTTACATGGAATCACAACCCACTTTATTGACCACTATTTTTTTTTATTTTTTTTTTGAGAAGGTAACAACTACTTCATTGACCACTATATCATATCTTGGTTATGTAAGTTCAATGTTTAAGGCTCAGGCAACGATATGGAGAAATGTTATAATGAATAGGCCAATAGGGGTGGCCTATAATGAAAGGCACACCAAAATGGAACTCCACATGGGCATGGTATATGGAGAAATAATAGGGCATCCTGGCCTTGGTTTTCACAGAGCATTAACATCAAAATTGTCAATAGAAGAAGAGTTCAATTTTGGCACACGCTCCATTAAAAAACCAATTCCCCTCTTGTTCAAGCATAGTGCAGGATATTAACAGTCTAGCACACAGGGCAGGGAAGGCAATGGTTGGAATTTAAAATTTTGAAGGTACTTCAATGATTGTGAGTGCTTAGAGTGGCAGAAATGTCTCAGTATCCTATCATCTTTCGAAGAGCCAAATAACCGAGGATAAGTTGGTACAGTAGGGGTAAACGAGTCTGTATGGAAGGGGCAGAAGAACGTTGTTTTTACTAGAAAGCAGGTGGGGATTCTAAAATCTAACAAAAGCAATGTTTTTTGAAGGAGTTGTGGTCCTCCATACTGAAAATTATATTACTGTATACTTCTGATGTCCTTTTAGTGGAAATTGGAATGGGCAAACAAGTGTTGAGCCCTTGCTACAGTTCATAGAATCTTTCATACAGCATAGAGAGGGTGCTCATCCCTTTATGCTACTAGCTCTTTTTCGATAGTACTTTTCTTCTCCCTTTTTTGTCATACAGCACTCTCTTAGTACTTCTAACATCAGAAATGCTTGCCACTTCCCAAAAAAACTGGAAGAGAGAAAAATGTTACGGAGCACCACTAAGAGTTGCATAGATTTAGATAAAGGATTGGGCAGGTAAAGAAAATGGAAATAAATCAAAACTCAACCCACAAGAGCTAGCTCATCAGGTGAAGATTGTCCAAGACAAATAAGGAGAAAGCATTCCATTCCCCCAACTAATATGGGTGCTCATCCCTTTATGATACTAGCTCTTTTTCGATAGTATTTTTCTTCTCCCTTTTTTGCCATACAGAACTCTCTTAGTACTACTAACATCAGAAGTGCTTGCCACTTCCCAAAAAAACTGGAAGAGAGAAAAATGTTACGGAGCACCACTAAGAGTTGCATAGATTTAGATAAAGGATTGGGCAGGTAAAGAAAATGGAAATAAATCAAAACTCAACCCACAAGAGCTAGCTCATCAGGTGAAGATTGTCCAAGACAAATAAGGAGAAAGCATTCCATTCCCCCAACTAATATGGGTGCTCATCCCTTTATGATACTAGCTCTTTTTCGATAGTATTTTTCTTCTCCCTTTTTTGCCATACAGAACTCTCTTAGTACTACTAACATCAGAAGTGCTTGCCACTTCCCAAAAAAACTGGAAGAGAGAAAAATGTTACGGAGCACCACTAAGAGTTGCATAGATTTAGATAAAGGATTGGGCAGGTAAAGAAAATAGAAATAAATCAAAACTTAACCCACAAGAGCTAGCTCATCAGGTGAAGATTGTCCAAGACAAATAAGGAGAAAGCATTCCATTTCCCCCAACCAATATGGGACACTTAAACATCACTCCTCCCCCCCCCACCCCACCCCCCGGCCGGACTAGTAGTATTTCACATCTTACTATAGCATAAAATCACACCCCTTTCTTGAATCAATGTATAACAATTATACCTCATAAAATTAAATAAATATACTCGCTGTTAAAATGGAAATATTGTGCAAGAGTTAGAGAGTAATTCGCTTACAGTAACGCAATAATTCACATGATTTATAGCATAAGTCATAACACCACATCAATTTAATAAATGGCTATTACAATCATTGTACCTCATTAACAGTTCCAAAATATAACTATACCTCATAAAATGTACAGACTCATCAACGTTAATTTGTTAAATCTATTTTATTGCTGATTGTCTAATGTTGTTAATATCAAATATTTGACAACATTCTTTTTAATATTTGTGATCATTTAAAGAAGTAACATTCACATAGAGAGTTTGGCTATAGTGAAGATGTTAAGAAGAAGATGTGCACCACTTACTATTACATTGTCAAGTAACTACACCCCTGTGGAGGGAAGGGCCCGGAACTGGTTGAAGTACATTGGGTCATGCCAAGAACAGTTAAGGAGGCAATATATAGCTGACCTTTCAGAATAATGAGGATCAAGAATGATTTTGTTTGTCACAAGGCATGGGATATAGTTCCACTATCAATTATGTAGGTTGTTTGGAGGGAGAGGAATAGGAGAGCGTCTGAGGAGATCGAGAACGATTTCGTACATGTTAGCAGTAGCCTCCAATCTCTAGTTTTTGGGGGATGTACCCATGAGGCACTTGTTTGTATAGATGATTGGTAGCCAGAGAGATACAAATTTTGGTATACTATTTGTATACGGGGATTTCCCTTCCATTAATAAAATTATTTAGCTTATAAAAAACTGAGGCAATAATAAATCTCACAAAAACCTAGGATTTTGTGGAAGCTGGTTAAGACTTGGACTAAGATCCTCAACATCAACCGATATTAGACATTGGTGTGAAACAACATAACATGAAGGCCTAACATTTGTGAACCGAAAAGAGGGACGGATCCGCCTCTGATAGCACGCAAAGAAAATAAACCTCAACCGTAACCCAACCCAAAAGCTAGCTCATAATTAAGGATTGTTCAAGTACGCAGACAACAACACCACCTTCCCTCAACGAATGTAAACACTTATCAACGCAATTTGGAAAGACAAAATGTGCAACGTTACAGAAATCGCTACTAGTTTGGACCCAAAGAAAGAACATTTTACCAAAGATTGTGTTGAAGCCTGTCTCTCTGACAAAAATGTAACTCAACAATTGGAAATCAACATAGAGAAAAAATCTTGGACATACGGGTATGATATTATGAATGAAGCATTGATAAGCTAGCTCAGTAGCACCTGTTTTCTTAGAAAAAAGCAAAGAGCATACCTGGCACTGAAGACTAGTTATAGTGGACCTTAACAAAGTGTCCCCTACGATCAACCTCAACTTTCGGACAAATTCATCCCTGTTTATCTTCTTGCCCTGCCAAATGCCATAATACACGAAGTCATGAACACGAGAGGAAAAATATCAAAGTAACAATTCAAGCTATCCAGCA